TTGACAAAGTTTACCAAGTTTATACCAAGCTCACTACGTTTTTACAAAGCTTTCAAAGTTGGTACAAAGTTTACAAAGTTTTACACAGATTTTATGAAGTTTGCAAAGTTTTACACCCGTTTACCAAGTTTACAAAGTTTCACAAAGTTTACAATATTTTGACACAGTTTTCAAAGTTTTGAACAATTTCCAAAGTTTACCCAGTTTACAACGGTTTTACCACTAAAATCAATTAAAGACGTATTGAAAGTTTTACAATGTTACTGCAATGTTGACAAAGTTTTTACAACGTTTACACAGTTTTGCAAAGTATTGAAAGTTTACAAACCTTGTACAAAGTTTATAAAAAGTTTACAAAGATTGCACATTTTACAATTTTTACATGGAGTTTTTTACAAAGTGTACAAACATTTGCAAACTTTACACAGTATTTACATAGTTTACAAAGCTTTCACAAAATTTGCAAAGTTTATACAGTTTACACAGTTTTTGCACAGTATTGAAAGTTTACAACGATTTTACAAAGCTTTGGAATTTGACAAAGTTCTTGCAAAGTTCGGAATTTACACAGTTTTTCAATTTTTACAGAGTCTACAAAGCCTCACAAAGTGTTTACAAAGTTTTCAAAGTCTTTACAAAGTTTACAAAGTTGTACAACGTTTTTACAAAGTTTACAACAGCTTTTTCAAGTTTACAAAGTTTTTACAAAGTTTACAAAGTTTTTACAAAGTTTACACAAGTTGTTCAAGTTTACAAAGTTTTTACACAGTTTACAAGGTTTTTACTAAGTTTTTACAAAGTTTACAAAAGTTTTTCAAGTTTGCAAACTTCTTACAAAGTTTACAACGCATTTACAAAGTTTACAAAGTTTTTACAAAGTTTACAAATGGCTGGTGAAAAACACTTATGTTTACAACAAATGACATGAAAAACACTTCTTTTGAAGCAAAAAATCGTGCAAAAACACTTCTTTCACATAACTTTACAAAGTTTTACAAAGTTTTTACAAAGTTTACATAGTTTACACAGTCTTTACAAAGTTTACAAAGTTTCTACAAAGTTTACAACGTTCTCACAAAGTTTGCGACATTTGCCTTCTGTTACACAAATTTACAAAGTTTTTACAAAGTTTACAAAGTTTTGAAGATTTTGGAAAGTTTACAAAGATTTTGCCAAGTTTACGAAGTCTTGCAAAGTTTACAGAGTTTCGACAAAGTTTACAAAGTTTTGACAACGATTACAAAGTTTTGATAGTCTTTTTATTTGCAAAGTTTACAAAGGTTCTTTCTACATTTTCCAAGTTTTTACAAAGTTTGTACAGTTTCACAATTTGTACAAAGTTTTTAGGAAATTTACAAATTGTTCAAAGTTTACAAAGTTTTCACAACGTTCACAAGGTCTTTCAAAATGTTTACAATGTTTTGACAAAGTTTACGAAGTTTAAGAACGTTTTACAAAGTTTGCAAAGTGTTACGAAGTCTATAACGTCTTTTTTTTAAATAGAGTTTACGAAGGCCTACAACATCTAAAAGTTGTTTACAAAGTTTACAAAATGTTAGTACAAAGTGTACAAAGTTTGCAATGTTTACAAACTTTTTGACAAAGTTCACAAAGTTTTGACAAAGTTTACAAGTGTTTACAAAGTTTTGACAAAGTTTTCGCATTTTACAATTTTTTACACAAAGTTTTCGCAGTGTTTTACACAGTTTTACAAAGTGTACAAAGTTTTTACAAAGGTTTACGAAGTTTAAAGTGTTTCAGTGTTTAAAAAGTTTACAATTTTAACAACAGCTTACGAAGTTTTGACAAAGTTTGCAAAGTTTTTTTCAATCTTTACACAGTTGTTGCAGAGCTTTGAAAGTTTACAAGGTTTTAGAATTTCACCAAAGTTTCTACAAAGTTTACACAGCTTTTACAACTTTACAAAGTATTTACAAAGTTTACAAAGTTTTTACAAAGTTTACAACGTTTTGCAAAGTGTTCAAAGAATAAAGTTTACAAAGTTTTGACACAGATTGAAAAATCCGAAACTTTGTAGAAAGTTTGTAAGCACCAAAAACTGTTGTAAAAGCTTTGTAAAAAACGTTCAAACTCAATAACTTGGTAACAACTTTGTAAAATTCCAAAACTTGTTCAACGTTTGATAAATGTCCAAAGCTTTGTTCAGATATCTAAGGGTTCAATACTTTGTAAAATGTACTGTAAGTTTCCAAAACTTTTTGAAGTTTGTTATTTCTATTTTTAAACTTTGTAGACTTTGTTAAAACATTGTAATGCAAAAACTCAGTAAAAACGTTGTAATTCCAAAACTTTGTCAATTTTTTTGTAAAGATCCAAAACTTTGTAAACACTTTGTAGGAAGTTTGTTTGAAGACCTGCGAAAGCTGTTCAAGAAGAGCTGATCTTTGGATCAGTGAGACTGTTTGCATTTTTTGTTTACAAAAACGGCATTTGGTGCTTGCGCTTTGGGAATTTGTGACTGATGGCTGTAGTGTTTCAGGGTATTGAGGGTGAGAAGAAGGGTCGAATGGTTATTGGTTGTGCAAGTGTTTTAAGACTTGGCCACGGAAACACCAAAACACTTCTTTCATTTTTCCAAATAACATTGGTGCAAAACACTTCTTGCGAGCAAAAACACTAAACTCAAGCAACTTAACAATAAAACAAAGCAGCAGCTTAAAAAGGTTGCCCAAACCAAAATGCTTCCCCCTCCCCTCCATCTCTGCGAGGCCCATCGTGCATGTGCAAGGCCTCGAAGTCCAACGCTTCGGAGACTTCGAGCGAAACTGGGCCAAGGCGGTGACTCTCCGAGGGTGGCGGTGACGAGACCGAAGCGGTGACCACCAAGGTGTGCCCGGTGAACCGACTTTGCCTTCAGGTTGCGCGTGGTGGTCAAATCCCTCAGAAAAAAACTCAGGGTGGTTCCGGATGGTTGCGGTGAGAAACATGACAAATGGTGGGCCAGGAAGTGCAGGGACCCTCTTTTTTTATTAAGGTCACTTGCACCCATTGTCCTAGCAACGAGCAGGTTGACTCCGAGCACCAAGGGTACCTTGGTCATCCTGGGACTCGCCACGGCGTGTCGTTTCGGTGATGTTCAGCTCCGCGTGTCGCTTCGGTGATGTCAGGGCAGCGTGCGAGCGTGCCGATCTCGGCGCCGGATTTGGAGATTTGGGGGGTCCACCAATTCTGAAATCGACCAAGGCCCGTGCAGACGGCGTCCCTTGTTTGGGGGGCGCGCTGCGCACGTTTTCTGTGTTCGACGTTCCAAAAGGGAACATGCACTCAGTGACTTGGACTTCCCTGGGGTTGGGTAGAAGCCTCCTTGCAGGGGATACGCTCCCTGAGAATCATCGGAAGTGGATGGACACTGCCCTGAAGGACCATCCAGACCTGGTTAAGATTCTATCAGGTTCCGGACGTGACTCGTCTGACCCAGATCTGAGCCTGGTATAACCTGGTCTGACTGACCTGTGATCTCGTATGACCAAGTCCAGAGAGGTCGGTTTTTGACCTGTACCGGGGCCCCCGGTTTGGGGTGGTTAATGGACACCTCATAACATTCAAGAAACCATTATTGGACACACCTTAAGCCTTAGGGGGCCCTGGTAGGGTTGGTTTTATCATGTTTTATCCACTTCGTTCCACTTCCATGATTTCCAGCGTCAGTGTCTTCGCTCCGGCGACACACTGGACGTCCGTGGCGACCGGTTTTTCTCGGGGGAACCGAAGCGGCGAAACCGCACCGTAGCGACGGTCGGCGGATTCCGTGGAATCAGAAGTATGGTCCAAGGACTTATGTACCTGGCAAACCCAAAACCAAATGGAACGTTCATAAGAATCATTTGGTCTAGCATCTCCGAAGGACGGCGATAGTGGGAGTTGGCTGCTAACGGGTGGACCAACGGCTTTCAAGCGGCACTGAGCGAAGGTCTTGGGATTAAATGGTTGGTCTTCCAGTTGTGCACCGCCGTTTTCCACTTCCGCCACTTCCCTTTATTGATGTGCCACATGAGACACAGAGAGAGAGTGAGAGAGAGAGAGAGAGGGAGGGAGGGAGCGAGGGAGAGAGGGAGCAAGGGAGAGAGGGAGGGAGGGAGGAGAGGAGAGAGGGAGAAAGAATGAGTGTTCGTCACCATCAGCTGTGGGAGCTCGTCCAGATTTGTAGGTCCCGCCCGGCTTCGGACGCCGACCGCGGAACCCGCCGCGGAACCCGCCGCGGAACCTTCCGGCTTCAGCTGACGCGTTGACGACGGCGCCGGAGCGACGGCCCGGCGCGACCGGCCTTTTGGGGGGGCACTTCCCGAGTGTTTGAGCCGAAGGCACCGCAGTGGAACGGGGGTGGGTGTGGTCGTGATGGGGAGTGTGGGGACTCAAGGTTGATGGGTTTGGCAAGCGATACTCATCCAAGCGAAGAATGGGTTCCTAGGGTTTTTGAACGCTTTTTTCCAGTGCAGCGATGACGGAACGTGCAGTGATCGTTGAGATTTGGCGTTTATATAATAAGCATCTGGTTTCTTGAGGTATTATTGGCTGATGTTCTCGCTTCAGAGGTTCTTGCTGAACCCATGCAAAGTGCTTGGTGCAATGTCCGGACATGGCAAACACCTGGACGGGCTGCTTTGTAGTCCCATCCATTCACATCCAATACGTGGGGATCATTATATCATGGGCACCCCCAAAACGCCCCCAAGTTCGGCACCCCAACATGTCGACTCCTGGTACGTGAGAATGGCATGTTTCGTTCGTGTGTCGAAAGCCACCCACGCCCAGCTCGCTTTTTTCATGCCATTCGTCGGACCGCGGGTCAGAGCATCGTCGACCGTTCGTTCAGACGATGGAACCATCCTTTTTGGGGCTCCGAACGGCCCCACACCCTCAGGTTCGGTGGTTTGACCGGCACCCACCTCAACATCCCCCACCTTCGAAACGGAGGGTAGTTGGAGTCCTATAGGGAATTATCGTGGCTTGCAACGCACCAGGCGGCCCCCCGTGTGACCATGGCGGCCCAATCGCTGAGGGTGCCCTGCTTTTCAGTTCGGTGGATGGGGGAGGGGACAACAGCCTATTCAAGTGCAAACGATCCTATACTCTCCCTGGAACTCACATGGAAGTGGAACGGCGGTCATCTTTCCTCTCGCCGTGTGGAACGTCCGACTTGTCGGAGCAGCCGGAGCGGCCGCTGCTTCGTTCGACAGACGCGAAGAAAACGAAACGATGGCCGCACGGTGGAGACACGTTTGGGCGGGACACGTTTGAAGGAAGGAGAGTTGGGAAGAGGTGAGAGAGTATCAAATCCCCAAAAGTGGTGAGTTGGGAAAGTTGGATTTTTTACATGAAATGGAGATCGAAACGGCAGACATGGAGAGCTGAAATGGTGACCTGTTGATCGTCGGGTGCGGGTACAAGGTGGTCTCTTTGTTAATAAGTACAAGGTGGGAACCCAGAACGATGGGTTTCCATCATTTCAGACAGACTCAGTCAGACTGGGGGGAAGTGCTGCTGCAGGGCGAGAAAACTGTTGTGCAAAGATGTGCAAAGCAGAATGAGTCAGAGGAGCTACACAGGAGCTACAGGAACCCACCAACACAAATCCCCCAAACATGGAGCATGCTCTTGGGACCACCGGCACCGTATACTTTGGCCACCGGGCGACCACCAAAATGCGGAACAACCACCTCCGGTCAGACCAGGGCTTCCTCGCTTTCGATCACCGGCGGAAACTGTCGGTGCCGGTGACGGCACGCGCCGTTCCCACCCTATCCCTGGCGTCCGGGGGGGGGGCCGTTCGCCATCCGCTAAGGATACCATCAAGGAGAAGATCGCCACGGCTCTCAAGGTTCGCCCATGACTTTTTCCTTCGAACACGCTTAATTATATAGTTGGGGTGTGATCAGGTTTGTACAAGTTTCCCTCTCAGCTCCTGGATGATGAGTGGTTTGCAATGATTTGTGTAAAGATATGTTGAAGAATGATCAATGGAGGAGGCCAGGCATTCCGTTTGAATTGGTAGGTGCTGAACTTGGAGGAAGTCGGGGTGCCCCTGTCACATCCACTCACTGGAATGGGACAACCACCGGCGACATGGCACTCCTTGGTCCATTTGGTCCATCGCCACAATCAAGGCGACTTCAGTCGCTCCATCTGTCTCGCCAGGAGAACCTCAAAATGGACGAGAGAGAGTTCACGAACCCTTGGAGTACTCAGGAGCACGGCCAACTGGGCCAATTCGGTTACACGGTGTGGTGAATGGTCACATCAGCGCAAGGAGGCGATCCAAAGTCCGGTAGTGACACGGCCCATCTATTATACGAACTGTCTATTACATGGTATTATGCAGCGCAGGGTGTATAAACAAAAAAAATCATTTGATTTGTCACATCGTCTCAGATGGTATCAAGTGGTATCACTGTTCCTCAGGCAAATTCAGCAGACAAGTTTCTGGCCGACGGGGTCTGCAAGGCTTCGAGCCTAGGCTCTCCTGGCTTCGCACGCAGCAGCTGCATTGCTTAGCACCTGTTTTTTGGGGGAAGATTGACATACATGGACGCCCGTTGTTCAATTGAAAAGCAGGACACACACGCAAGACTACAACCCCCTCCAATGGCTTTCTTTTAGATGGGGGTCCATATGAGGATTGGACCGTACGGTTTACCCCCTGGTTGGTTCAGAAATGGAAAGAGGTTTGCCCAGCATCCCCATCTTGCCAGAGATAGGACAGTCCATCACTCATATGAGCAACCTGATTTATTTACGGAAAGCTATTTAGTAAAGGACCCGACATTGGGATTGCAGAATTTGCATTTTACTTGGAAAACGATAATACACTCATCAAAAAACGATAACATTTTGATAGCATCATGTTTAATTATAGGAAAGCTTAGTTTGCATGGCTGCAGTACAGCTTTTTCACCATGAAGACCATCAGGGAACCTCGTTTCTGCTTAGTGTAGCCTTTCCCAAACTGTTTTTGACTTCGGACTTTGGCGACAGGTTTGTCCGAAATGTAGCTGTCTTAGCCCCTCAGTGGGCAACCTTTAACCTTTTTTTTTTCACCCTGTGGGGGGGGCAGGGCGCACCACAAAATCACGCGCATCAGAGTTCAGAAGACTTAGAAGGAGAACGAGGAGAAGGAACTCAAGACACACAGCCCGGAACATTGTTTGATTTTTCTTGTTTGACAGCGTCGGAGGTATAAGCATGTAACTTACGTCTTTAATTCAGTTTTATTTTGCGTACAATGTCTATTTTATTATTCGACGTTTGCTGATGCAAGTTGGTGTTTGTGTTTTGATTTCTTTGAATTTGTTGACGTCTTGTGCGTGTGTGTCCAGCGCAAAGTTTTGGCGAAGACTCGTTTATTTGGAAGGGAAAGCAAGCATGTTTGTTGGGCCTGCGGGCAAATTTTCCCAAAATCACGTTGCGAGTTCACAGTGGCGTTGCAGGGCTGCCGGCTGATCACACCGACTTGCCACCGCAAAGGGGGAAGCGGTTCAACGCCAACGGCCTGGGGCCACCACAGCAGAAACAAACAAAACGTAAATCGGGTGTCGAACGATCGAAAAGTAGAGCAGAACCAGCGAAGCGCAAAGACTGCGCAACCTTAGAAAACTGCAAGCTTCCCGACCAACCACGAGAGCAGGCAAAACTGACACGGCGCACAAGACACAGGGCCTCTGCTGCCAGTTCAGGCCCACACTCCTGTGAAACCATATCTCTGGCCACCGTCGCAAACAAGCCAGCGGACAAGCGCCCAACCCGCGCTACTTTCAAATCTCGTAGCTTTCCTTCCCAGTAGCGCTGCTTGACTATTTGTGGGCTGCAGCGCAGTGATGCGAAGTGATTGTTGCAAGTCAGCACCCTTTCAACTGACAGTCGGTTCCCTGCCGGTTGAGAGCTGTGTTCAACGAGCGAGCGTCAGGTTAGTGACAGGTACTTGCCTGCTGTAGGCACAGTCTTGTGAGTCACACTGCGTACTCGGTAGACCGTAACATGTTGCTTTCATATAGCTCACGGAATCGGAGTTCCGACATTTTGGAGAAGGTGACAAGGAGCAGGACGAGAAGGAAAATGAGAACCAGGACATAATGAACACATTATATGAAAGCAGGGTGTTGAAACACATTGTTGATGTTTTTGTTTTTTTACACTTGTGTATAACCTTTATTTATTAACCTTTGATGCAAATTGGAGTTGCTGAATTTTTTTTTATCTGTTTGCATTTCTTTGATGTTACGTGACGTCACGTCCGTCCCACCTGCGTTACGCCTGGAAAACCCCGTGGTTCACGTTTTGGGAAATGTGCGGCTGTGTGTGCGCGCGCCCCACCCTGATAGTGAGATTGGCCTGTGGTACACTGAGTCCAGGGATTGCAGACTTGCACGTTTTGCTTGTTTGTGTTGCGGCGCGCCCGTTCGTTGAACCTTTTCCCCCTTTGCGTTGGTCAGTGTAATGAGCCGACAGCCCTGCATGCAACCTGCGCCGTGTTTGTTACAAGCACCACTGCGTCATTTTTCCCGCCAAGACCGCCGCTACGAGACACTGTCGCCAACGTGCTACGCCGTCGTTCTCGCGAACCACGCAAACCCGAAGGCGGGGAGGGCGCACATACACACTTCGACATTGGTTTTCAGTTAGCTCAATTGCCACGATGGGAAGGAAGGTGATGGAACAGCAAGGCGAATGAGTCAGGTCACTTGAAGTGTTGAACAAAAGTTTCACTCGCACGGCTGACTGTAACTCTCAGGCGGCTGAAAAGTGCGGTGGGAACCTGTTTTTTGGGGAAAGTAGCATGAAGGACAATGATTCAAAGCGTGGAAAGTGGTTTCACAGCTTGAAAACAGTTCTCATCGCAGGTACAGGAATGTGCGTCCACATTCCCTTCCGGCTGAATCCCATAGCTTCGTTGGCATGGCTAGGGAAACAGCCGCCATGCCCCCTGCATGCAGAAACCCTTCGAAACAGGGCTTGACGCACACAAGCTGCCGCTTGGCGGCGCTCGTGTGAGAAACCTGAATAGATACCTAAAAAGCCTTAGAAACGAAAGAAAGAAAGACAGAAAGAGCAGCGCTAAGAGGGCAAAAGAGAAAGATAGGTGTAGAAAAATGGAAAGGTGAATACTTAGCCCTTGACTGGGGTAGGGAAACGAACCTCAAGAACCACCTAAAAAGCCTGAAAGAAAGCCCAACAAACGACGAAAAACGCAAGAAGGAAAGCGGGGGGCAGGGAGGGGGTGTATGTCCATGTGTGTGTACGTGTGTGTGTTTGAATACCTAGCACTCTAGAATTACTGAATACTTAGACGAAGTGAATTAGGTGCACTAGTTAGGGAGCGGGACTTTAGTCTTAAACCGCCGGGGTAGAGTAGACTAGAAAAAGGACAACAGAGGGAAAGGCACCGACACACAAGTGTGTCGAGCACCATTTCCCTATGTTACCCTAATTAGGTAGGGAGTAGAACACGGTGGGGGGGGGTAGGGAGACCTGCCTGAAGTGGGGTGAATTCCGTTTTTAAGCCCGGCGGCTAGCAAATTCGTTTTAGAGCCCGACGGCTGTATGAGCAGTAAATTCAGGGTAGAGAAAGATCGATGAGGGAGTCAATGAAAACCGAAAACTCAGTAACTCAAATTCCAGCATGAAAACAGCGCCTCCTTGCGGAGGATCACACCCAGCACCCAAGTGGGACGGCTGAGCGGCTCACACTTCGACATTGGTTTTCAGTTAGCTCAATTGCCACGATGGGAAGGAAGGTGATGGAACAGCAAGGCGAATGAGTCAGGTCATTTGAAGTGTTGAACAAAAGTTTCACTCGCACGGCTGACTGTAACTCTCAGGCGGCTGAAAAGTGCGGTGGGAACTTGTTTCTTGGGGAAAGTAGCATGAAGGACAATGAACCAAAGCGTGGAAAGTGGTTTCACAGCTTGATCACAGTTCTCATCGCAGGTACAGGAATGTGCGTCCACATTCCCTTCCGGCTGAATCCCATAGCTTCGTTGGCATGGCTAGGGAAACAGCCGCCATGCCCCCTGCATGCAGAAACCCTTCGAAACAGGGCTTGACACACACACACACTGCCACAAGGACCCTGCCCCCGTTCACATCCTTTCACAGTGGTGCCGTGACGAAATACGACTGACTCCTTCCATGTGAGTCTTTTGACCTGGAAGTTGTTGCGAGCAAGACTTTCTTCCCACCTGGCGGCTGATGCAAGCGGAAACACGCAAACGACGACGCAACGTGACCTTCACAAAAAATACGCCAGGCCCCCCTCTTACAAACACTCGCCCATGCGACACACCGCCGCCGTCCTGCCGCCGCCCAGCGCCGCCGTTCTACGCCGCCGTTCTCCCACCCAACGCGCGGAACACGCAAACCCGAAACAGATGGCGCACAAGCAGCCTGGCACTGATGCCAACGCGAAAGCTCATGCATGCGAGCAGCCGTCACAATAAGTGTGGGTTTGCGATTTTCCAGGTGGCCAGCTGCAGCTGTGCTGTTGGCACAGCCTGCGTGGAACGCAGTGCTGTTGCAGGTGGCCACCTGCAGTTGTGTTGCCCGTTGAACGCAGTGCTGTTGCAGGTGGCCACCTGCAGTTGTGTTGCTTGTGGTGGCGTGTGCGTTGAACGCAGTGCTGTTGCAGGTGGCCACCTGCAGTTGTGTTGCTTGTGGTGGCCTGCGCGTTGAACGCAGTGCTGTTGCAGGCGGCCAGCTGCAGTTGTGTTCCTTGCAGTGGCCTGCGTGTTGAACGCAGTGCTGTTGCTGGTGGCCAGCTGCAGCTTTGCTGTTTGCAATGGCTTCCTGCCGTACACAGGTTTTGTGCCAACGGTAACTACGCGCCGCTTCCGGTGATGGTTCGTGCATGGATCATAAAACATGAAACATGATTCATCGGGTATGAAGTCATGGCTCATAAAACATGAAACATGATTCATCAGGTATCAAGTATCCACCTCCATCTCGAAGTGTTATCGCAAGATGTTCTCAAAACTCAATGAAAATGGGGTTCCACGAGACTTCCTGGGGGCTATTTTTTAAAACCGCTAACCAGACTATTGAAAGTAGCGTAACCTGGTCCTTGGAAACCCTCAGCTCAAAACCAACCAACCCCAACACATGCCAAAGTCTCCGCCAGAAGGTTGCAGCCACACCGGATCCCAGGTCCAGTGGCAGCAACTGCAGGCCCCACAACTGCCAAGAGGCTCCACTTAGTAACCATGGTGAGTATGTGTTGCCGGTGGTCCTATTTTCGGTCTGGTGGCGGCAAACCGTTGTCATGACATGTGTCAACGCCGGTGTTAGGCAGATAACGAATGTTGGTGGCACACCCCTGGTATGATGGTCAATACTGTTGCTGCTGCTCCTGGTATGCGGCGACCCTGTTGGTGCGGTAATTCCGCTGGTATGATGGTGTCATACGGTTGGTAAGACGGTATCGTACCGGTATGATGGTATCATACCGGTCATACCGGTGACCTGATGGTATCATACCGGTGGCATGAGGACCTCATACCATTGGTATGATGTTGTCATACCGGTGGTATGATAGCATACCGCTTGTATGATGGTATCATACCCCCACCCGGCCCAGGCGTGTTTGGTGACCGCACAGCAGCCTGTGTTCGTGAAAAAACACAGCATGTGTTGTGATGTACACAACATGTGTTGCGCTGTACACAACATGTGTTGTGCTGTACACAACATGTGTTGCGTTGTACACAACATGTGTTGTGGCATACAAGACAGAAGCACGTGGCGCTCACATTGTTTGTCTACAGCACAGCCACGCATGAAACACATGATGACCCTGGAGGCTTGACGAGCAGAGCCGGCCCTGGGAAACTCACACCCGCAACTGCCTGTACGCAACCGACACTCCGCGGTCTACAAAACGCAGGCAGAAACCAGCCAGCAACCATGACATGTCGGACATGTGCTTCCACCGCCCCGTCACGTAATTAATAGTAAGGTCGGGAAGGTCTTTAGGCATGCTGAAACACGGTGTCCCACTGCGCCGAGATGTTAGTTTGGTCACTTGCGGTCACTTGCGTGCGAAATGAACGTTTGACACGCCAAACCTTGGCAGCGGCTCACAAGCATTCAAGCCTCTGACGCCCGCCTCCTCTTGTAGTTGTAGACGCTATGGCTGCCGACCTTCGTCTGACTACTCCTGCCTACCAAGTTGTCCACCTGGTGTGCACCCTCATGCTGTGCCGGGCTGCTGTGGAGAAATGCCTTCGGAAGCGGTGTGGCATTTTGCCAGACTGCTTCCGCGCCTTGCTGATGCGGCCCTTCGAGTTGAACTTCACCGGAGGGCAGCAGAAGCGGGCGTGGACAATTCAGGGGCTTCTTGAGAAGATGAAAATATGTTTCTGGCCCATTGGCTGCACAATGAAATTTTTATCCCTTGTTCACCCCAGAGTGAAAAGTATTGAAAAGTTAGAGGTTGAAGCGGCGCCGAAACTTTCATCCCATGTGAGGCCCACAGACCGGACGACAAAGGGACGACAAAGGCCCAGGCCAAAGTCCTTGAGGAGTGGCCAGGGAACGTGTTTACGAACTGTTGCCCGGAAGAGACTTCAGTGTTAGTTTCAGTGTTTTTGCCCGAAGATTACATTTTTTGCCCGTGGCTACCCCCAGGTTACCTGATGACGGTCCTGGCCACCGAAAAGTTTGCGCCAGAAACTTGGCATAACTTGGCAACTGAAATCCCTCTTCCCTCTTCCCCCTTGTTTTCGTTAATGTGTTTGTAGTAGGGCGCCCCGCCGTCTCCTTAGGACGCCTGGCGCTGGAGAGGCGTCTGCGATCAAGAAGAAGCTCCTCGCTGTCTTCAAGAACAAGAACCCGGCTCTGTTCTTCACCTCGTTGTTCAACCCTGGCCGGCGTTCACGCTTTACAGTCCGTAAAGCGAAGCGGGACGGGGTGAAGACTGCGCTGGGGATAGTTCAACTTAAGGTGGCCCGTCCATGCCTTAAGTCGACGAGAACCATCTGGCGCCCCAAACGCGAGATCATCTTTGAGACTTTCTCAGAATTTGTCATTCACAAAGGTAAGGTAGACACAACCTGTTCACAATGTAGCAGAAAGTGTCATGGTTGAACCTGCACGATTCGATAACTGTCAATGATTTGCAAAAGCTCTACGGGCTTGGGCCGTTTCAGTGCACCAACTTTTGGCGCCTGCTTCGGTCCGCCCGCTCCTACCCGAAGCACTTGGATCTCGCGTGGTCCTCCTGCAGGCCGGGAAGCCGCAGGGGCATCAATTTGCTGAAGAACTTCCTGAAGGACCCCCTGTAAAACGTTTTCAAAAATTTTCAATGCAAAACCCTGAGCCCCTGTAGCTGCCTGAGCGTTGGCTGCAGGACTTTTGCGTGACAGCGTCGGACGCCAGTTCCCAGGACTTCTTCTCAGAGCGGCTGCAAGACATCCAGGAACTTTTCCAGCGGTGCGCGGCTTTGCAGCCAGACCCATTGGACCACAAGTTGCTGGCCGAAACCAAAGACGGGTGATTATCGTTTTGAAGCAGCCTTCAAACATGCTCGCACGGAACCGGAGGAGGAAGTCCAGACTTTGTGCTCCACTTTGGAGGGCGTGGCGTTCATTTTGTGTGAACTTTCCAAGATCGTCAACTACGTCGTGAAGGAACACCCCATGTATGAACGGGGGTTCCAATGTCAACGAACCAAGTATCAAACGATAACCTAAACGATAACCAAACGATAACGTAAATGTAGACGAACCTGTCCTACGAAACCAGTGCCCCACTTGTATCATATCTTCCAAACAAGCTCAAGACATGGGCTGGTCTACTGGTCTACTGGTCTACTACTAACTACTACTACTACTACTACTACTACTACTACTAATATTCCTACTGCTACTACTACTACCACTACCACCACCACAACCACAACCACCACGACGACGACTACTACTGCTAGTACTGCTCCTCCTCGTCCTGCTCCTACTGCCCCCACTGCGACTGCCATTGCCACTGCTACTGCTCCTACTGTCACTACCACTACTACTGCTACTACTAGTACTACTAGTACCAGTACTAGTACCACTACTATTGCTACTACGACTACTACCACTACTACTGCTACTACCACTACCACTACGACTACTACTACTACTACTACTACGACTACTACTACGACTACTGCTACTACTACTACTACTACTACTACTACCAACTACCAACAACTACTACTACTACTACGACTACTACTACTACTACCACTACGACTACTACTACTACTCCTGCTGCTACCACTACTCCTGCTCCTACTGCTACTGCTACTGCTACTGCGACTACTGCCCCCACCAAACGGCGACAAGTAAAAAAATGCTGGCGCTGTGTGCTGTGTGTAGCGATGCCACCATTGAAGGCGATAGCCACGACCTTGCTTACCACACAGAAGGAGTTTTGACCGTCGCACGTCTGCTTCCATGTCCAAAAAGTCTGCCGCATTGTGAAAACAACCTTTAACATAAGTAAGGTTCAAAACGTGGAAAACGATAATACACTCACCAAATTGAAATGTGCAAGGCCCACATAACAAATAAACCGCGTCGCTCATATGCCCTAGGGCTCCTGGCCCATATCCTCAGGTTCGGTGGTTAGGCCCCCCTGGCACCCACGAAGCATCTTCTCAGGAGGTGGGCCAGCAGCCCTAGAGATAAGACTTGATATAACCCGTGAAACCTTGGGGATTGGTGTCGTCTACTCTAAAACTCCATGTGCCGATCAGGCCAGAGGTGGTTGATTGAAAAGGGATCGTGTTGAGCAATGGCTTGGCATCTATTCCAGTCCCACCAGTGTTCCAGTACTCTGAAACTCCGTCTACGGCATACTACGGCTACTGTACTTCCAGGGCCGCCGGGCCAGGGGATGCCAGGGGTGTCTAATCATATAGCTCCTTAGAGGTTAAGGGGTATCCATTCTCCACCCCAAACCGGGGGCCCTGGTTGATGGCTATTTAGGCGGAATAGAACCACAGGACCGACTCCATCACCAGTCACCCAGCACTCCATAACCAGTCACCCCGCCGAGAACGAGACGCGACCAGTGCGGCGCAGGACAAAGCCTCGGTGCTGCAAGAGTCTCGGTGCTTCAGCGACGCGCCCATCGACGCGCCCAAGCGACCCGGCGGCAGTCGTCTTAGTCGTTTATTTTGTGTGTGTTCTTTTTTCCAGTCCCTACAGGCTTCCAGTCGACCACCTTTAAACATATGGTTGACCTTGTTTTTGTGGAACAATCCCTTAGTAAATCTAATGGTTCTTTGGGTGGGCGACCATCGCTGCTCGGTATCGACCGAGCAGTGGGTGTTCGGCGAGCCTCGGTGGCGGAAGGCTGTTCGAGGAATCAAAGCCGAACAGAGGGATCAGAGCCGAATCCCTGCCAGAGCTGAACAAAGATTGGAGAACAGAACAGAATCCAATCCTTAAGGCAGGTCAGTTGAGCCAAGCAAAGCTGAGGTTGCTAGCATCAGAAGTGTAGGTAAGGATCTCTGCATCACTTCCCCAACCAACTTCATACTATTATTTGGGGGGGCCCTGGGACAGTAGGGTCACGCCTCTTCAATTCTGCTCAGCTGCCATCTCTGCCTTTCCTCGTTTCAGGTGCTTAAACCTGCTGACGCGGATCATCTATCTCATCCAGCACCTCAGTCTGCACATGTCCGGCGCGAGAAGAACCCCCGTGTTGTTCTTTGTTTTTTTAGACGACACTCTATGGTCTTTGAGGGCAAGGAACTCAGAGCTCTTTGATTGAATATGCTGCTGTTTTTTGCCGTTTGGTGCGTTGGAGATATTCTTGAGGGCCTATGACCATGGGACCTCAGTGACTCCAACGCGGTGATGGAACCAAAGAATATGTTCTCCTCCCCCCTCCCCCACTGAACGGACTCTTTTTGAGGGGGCAAGCCCCCCAAGTGGGCCCTGATCCGCCACACATCAATTCATCAATCATCATCAATCATCTACGGGATGATTGGAGGTCAGGTGGCCACCTTGAAAATCATTCAGTTCTGAGAATCGGCGGGTGGCAGTTTGGTAGTTTGGCGCTATAATTCCAGCCTTATTTCTCATTCCAGACTTCTCCCATATTTTTGTTTGGGTGATTTTGGACGAGAGAATTGGGTGGATGAATTGTGAACAGAACCGTCCTTTGAGGGAAGCTCTTTTTTTAAAAACAATATTTCGGCTTATAAACGCATGATTTGATGTCCCACACCTGAGTTGACACAGATGCTTTGCCAATCCAATACCTCAGAGAGAGCTTCACTTCCACAGATCTTTGGCCATGACTTCAATTGGAAGGCTGACCTGGAAGCTCCAAAGGCCCTTGGAACGCCAAATGGCAAATTCGCTCTGATGACCCCCACCACACAAAAAACAGGATACTGGTTGGCCAGTCACTGTTGATATTTTGATCCTTGCTCCTCGTGCGGCACTCCACCAGCAACAGGACCTGCATCCCACGGTCTCATGCTCCGCACCCAATTGGTACAAAGACCTGCCAGAAGCGGCCTAGGCAAGGAGAGAAGTTCACCGCACAGGCGAGTTCGGTGAGTTTGCCGGTGGGTTTGGGCCCGCAGAACGTGTTTTTGCCCGGAAAAATGGAGAGTGGATTGAGCCTACATGAAGATCATGAAGAGAACCGTGCACAGTCAAGAAAAAACACGGTGGGTGCAGATCTGACTTAATTTATAGAATTATACCATCACGGAATTTCCAGTTACTGGTGAAACGGGAGTCACAATCCACCACAAAACAGAAACAGGGTAAGATGAGTCATTTGGACCTGCAGGGTGTTGGATTCAGCCAAAAGGTGACTCCAGAACCTGAACTGCTGATTTTTGCGAGATGTGTTTTTAATGGCCAGCATGTAGCTACAGGGATTGGAGGGGAGGGGAGACCAGCAACTTGAACTGTTGGTTTTGCTTCCTTTGAGCAGCGCGTTGTCCAACCTCTGAGTCGTGCGAAGAGTTGCGGAGGTTCATAGCCTAGATCTTGAGACTGTGAGACATTTGCTTCAACTGACAGATTGGTGAAACTACTGGGTATAGCCTTTATGTAGGTGAAATCACTGTCAGATCCATTTGCCGATTTCGCCAACCATTTTCAGACAGGTAGGAGTCGGAGAGTGACCCTTTCTCAACGTGTCTCCCTTTTTGGATTCTTGGTTCCGACGGTCATGGGAAGAGCATGCTGCGAACCATCTCTCCGAGACCACTTCTGCGCACGGAGTCGGCAGTCGTCTGCTCCACCAGGGGGGGGCTGTCCCAGGGCGGACCTCCCGACCGGTCGCGGAGCTCTTGGTCGAAAGGGTGATCGATAGGGACGGATGAGCACGGGGAGACCACTCCGCCGCGCGGGGAGCCTGGGCGCCGACTCGTCTCACGCGAGGAACTCACGAACCTCTTCTTTGGAGTCACCAAGCTTTTTCAGGCATCGATTTTGGGGGACTGGACATGGGGAGAGGGGGCGAGTGGGAGGCACTGGCGAGGGTTCCTCGCCTGCGGAGCGCTTAAGGAGCGCTTGGCCAAGTCCTCTTGTAAACGGAGGGAGCAGTTGGCAGCAGTTGGGAGATATCAGTGGAGATATCCAGGAGTTCGAAAGGGGTGTTTTTTTTGTCCCATCCAGTGAGTGGATGTACTGGGCCAAGTTCGGTAGTTCGACATGGAACTGCTTGCAATATATTATGGATTCATGATGATACATGTCTCTGGAACTCCGAGCAGGATGTACCATCATCATGTCACACGTGTGTACCATCATGTCATACGGTGTCGGAGGACCAGCTTTCTGGATGCAGCTTTCCGGACCGAGGAGGTGTTTTCGGACCGAAGCCCAAATGAATTGCAAGACTGGGAAGCACCTCACGGCATCAGCAGGTCCTTCTTTTCCTCCACCGCCCCGAGTCCGAAGCGCTCGCCGGACAGCTGTCAGCATCTCGGACAGCCGCAGCCTCTCTGACCTGTCTGGCCAGGCTCAGTGTACGAGGCTCAGACGGATGGTCTACTTGGTCATCAAGGAGTTAGAGCCTTCTGATCAGGAGGCCGGGGTGCGAGGCTGGGAACTGTGGGGTGGAGCTGAAGTGAGATTTCACCATGTTGTTGCTCTATGTTGCTCTATTCTAGGACAATCGATGCCCTTTGACTCTTTGACAGACCCTTTTTCTGGGATTCGGTGGGACGTTTGGCAGAACCAAGGAACCGATTGAACGCTGTAACACCACGACATGCGCCGATTCTGCTTTCGGAGTCTCTAAGTTGCCGAGACTGGAAGAGGAGACCAGGATCACCGGAAGAATCACTTCAGAGAACCACCTCGGAGAGGAAGTCACTTCCTTGATCACCTCAATGAAGTCACTGGAATATCACCTCAATGAAGTCACTGGAATCTCAGGTCTCTTCACCTCTTCGTTTCAACGAACCACTTCAGAGATCTTCAGAGATGCGTTCCGACATGTGCGAATCTCCAGGCACTCCAATCCGAATCTCGGGTAACAAGGTGACAACCCGTCGTTTCTTCGGTCCCAGGTCTTCATTTGCATGTCTTGCCTCATCAAAGACATGAATAGCCTCTTGGATCGGGATTAAGTCCTGGGTCCTGTCGGTTGACCTGTCGGTTGACCTGTCGGTTGACCTGTCGGTTGACC